ACCTTTTTAAGTGGCCCGGTCATAGCCCATTGCTCTGAGAAATTTACTTATTTATTAACATAGTATTTAAAATTTTTGTGGAAATTCTTTGTCAAGAAATCAAATATATAAATTTTGTTTTTTGCCGTCCGTGTCGTATTTTTTTTCTATGTGGAAGGGTTGCGGTTAGTGATAACAGACAACAGTGAAGTAGCGACAATTTTATGGGTGGAACTAATTTTTAACTATCTTTCATATCTTGCAAGAGAAAAATATTCGAAAAAAATAAATCATTTCAAGACGATTGGGAGGTAGACTATTTTGGATTGAAAAACAACCATGGATCAGTAATTATTTGATTTGTCACGAAAGTGATGTATTTAAAAAAATACCAGTAAACAGGAATCATTCAATGTCACTTTCCCTCAAAAATCTCTTTCAAGAGGTAATACAAAGGCTTTCTTGAATAATCTTAGTAACAGCAACAGTATTTTGACAGTGGTAATATCACAGCGGTAACAAAGATATCCTATGAAGTTTGGTGTATTATTGGTAATCATATGAAACTGTTTACTGATACAGAAATTGTGAAGAAGTGCTTCTTAAATGTTTCTAATCTAGTGTTAGTGACAAAAATAAAAAAAATACAAAAAATAATAATTAAAAAAGCAAAACAGGAGTTATATTATTTTGATCAATTTTCCACATTTTAAATTTCCAATGTTATCTTGATCTTAAAGCATTTCTTCTCCCCCCTCCCCCATTTATCCTCATATTGCGACCCGTGTGAAATAGCTAACATATGCATGCGGCCCAGCAGAAAAAAGTTTGAGTACTCCTAATTTATGGCGTTAAGTTTTTCTAGCTCAAATGCCAGTTTGGCTGGATGAAAAAAAAACTGAATCAGAGAGGACAGACCTCGTGGAAAATCTATTGGTACAAATTGAAAACACATTATGAGCCCGCAACACCATGTTTTTATTTTCGAATTCGTAAACTGCGAATTAATTATAACTTGCATTTTTACTGCCCTTGATTGTGCGTTAACTCTAATTAAATTATTTTAACTTTAGGTTTATTATTTTAAAACACTAAGCATCAAAATTATTATAAGTTAATACTTATACTTTTTAAAAAGCATTGACGTACACACTATACCACACGAGTTCTTATAGTTTAGTCTCAAAAGTTATGAATTTTTATTATGTATAAGTTTTTATTTATTTTCTAAAACGTATTTCCACTTTCATTACTTTTGGGGACACTAAAAGTTAGTTATATAGCATTTTACAGCTTGAAAATACCTCTTTTTTGACCACTAAAAAAACTTCAGACAATTCAAGGCTCATTCACAAATAGATATTAAAAATTACACCAACAAAAACAAAATCTTTTTTCAATTATTTTGAAATTAAACATAACAAAAAAATCAATAAAAGATGTTCTATAGATTTTTTTACCCTTTTCAAGAGAAGAGTTTGAAAGATTGATATATTATATTTTAGAAATAATCTTATATACAACTTAAGGAATTTAAAATATTGCTCATTTTGAAATAACTATTGTGAGGATATATAAAGAAGTTACTGTGTGTGTGTAAAAATTAGTGCAGCTAATTTAATATGGCTTATGCCTCCAACTTCTGAAAAGCTTTTAAAAAAACCAGGACATCATACACATTCAAAAAATTGATTTTTCAATTTCGGTATTAAAAATAGTGTATATTTTTCTGAATCTAAAAATGTATAACACTTATTTGTTGATAAAATAACCTTAAAATAGGAAAAAAGTAATTATACACTTTTAAAAAAATCTATTGCACTATATTATTCCAATTTTGGTGTTACTACTATACAGGATACATGTGCATATAGTGAACCTATTATTTTAGTCTAAGTAGTACATAGTTTATAAAAAAAAATAATTTTATCTTTGAAAAGGAGGGGGGGATGAAAAATTTCAAAATTACAAAGTTTTGTAATTTTTTTAAGGAAACTATCTTAGTATTAGGTTCACTATATTTTGTGTATTGTTTTATATATGAACAAAAAATATTTTACATATTTAAGAGATAATTTTTTTAAAAAATGGTACCTAAACATAAGCATTATTGTCATATCCCAAAAATTATGTCCAACTTAAATTAAACAGAAACAAAAAAAAAATTTAACTAAAAAATTATTTTTGTATTTCTACAGAATGATTAAAATATCTTTATTAAGATCATAAAAAAAATCGAAGCTCTATTGGAAACTTTTAAAGATATATATCCCATAAAGAGTTATTTTTGGCATTTTACTCTTGAGAGTACGTCCTGGTACCCTTCATAGTTTCAAACATTGCATGAATGTTGAACGACTAATTTGAGTAAAAGATTGAATTAAGTTCGTATAAGTTCAGCTAAGGTTTACTACATATTAAAGAACTACGTGGAGCAAATTTTAAAGGTATTAGTCATTTTTCTTTTCTTTCTATATAATGGATATTTGGAAAGAGAAACGTCCAGTAAAATGATATTCATGAATATTTTTTACTCGATTCCCATTCGTGCAATTGCAAGCGTTTTAAAGCTGTCACTTTCGATAAAATGTAAATATCAAGAAATAAAACAAGGTTATTTTATCCGAGGTATTCAAATGTACTTCGCTAGTTTCAAAACTTAAAACACATTCTTTAGTATCGTTTCTATCCCAGAAAAAAAAATGCCACATTTGGATACAGCATTATGTATTCGAAATAACTTTAACATGCACATTGAACCAGCTATTGGAATAAAAAGAAAAGTAAGGTGCCTTCTCTTTCGAAACAAAAGACAATGCCTGTAGTTTATGCCAGTGTTCCAACATCTTACGAAAGAAAAAAAAGAAGAAAGTGGCCTTTTGCGCTCAACTCCCTCAGAGACTCGTGGACTACTAGAATAGCACATATAAAATGAATCAGTTTCAGAAAGGGAAAAAAAATTATTCTCCTTTATCTTTTCCATTTCGAGTTCAGGTTTTTCTCTTGAATTGCAAGAAGTAGCAAAAACTTATTCCAGGACGAGGAAATCAGCATTGATGTCTGCAAAAATAGAGAACGGGACCTCTTGTAATAGACGATCGATAGCAGTGCAAGAGCCCGTTACTTACCAACAGGGGACACTGTAGTTGCTTG